ACCAAAAAAGGGGGGGAGGGGTGTGGCGAAGCGTGCTACCTAGTGTGTAAAACATGTGTTGCCCTGCAACCTGATAAACATGAAAAAGATGAAGACTATGAGTTCGAACCTTGGTGCCAGGAAGACTCTTAACTCTGGCATTAATCTCCTGCTCTCTCTCCTGGTCCAGGAAAAACCTCTTATAGCCGAAAAGGTAAGGACAGGGAGAAGAAAAAAAAAAAAAACAATGGCTTAGAACCTGTAACGGCAGAGTGTGTTAAAGTGTACTTTTAAGACTTTTAACCCAGCATAATTCCCCTCCCTATCTCCCAGAAAGGGAATAAAAACGCCTAATCGGCAAAGAAGGGAAGAACAAAAAATAAACATGTATTTATTATTATTTTTTTAAAGGGAGTCCCTTTAAACCAAATGGATTTTATATTTAAATTGAAATTTCTTTTTCCTTTTTTTTTTTGGCCACCCCTTCCTTGCCTTTAAGGCTATATATGTGGTGGATCAGATCCTCCTCCCTCCCACATCCCTGTAAATTGCATATCGTTGTATTGCTTGCAACTAGCTAGTGCTGACATAAATATTGTTACAGGTAAATATATACAGATTTGAACAGAAAAATAATTTTTTTCAAAAGTTTTATTAGAAAATAAAATGTATGTCAATAGAGAGTAAAACAAAAAAGAAATTACTCAAAATGTCCCCCTTTTGCCTAGACACAGACATTTCATCTCCGTGGCGTCAGAACAGAAGCACTCAACTGCTCAGACCAGAGATTGTTTGAGGCTTTCCAAGTTAGGGTGTGCTCTGTGGCATGCCATCCTCTCCAGTTCAGACCAAAGTCAATAATCTAGTGGGTTGAGGCCAATAATCAGGGCTTCCTGAGGGCCAATCTGAGGGAGAGATGAACTCTGGAATGTACTTTTGCAGCCACTGCTGAGTTGAACTGGCCTTGTGAGCTGGAGCGGAATCCTGCTGGAAAACCCAATGACTTCCAGCAAACAGAGTATCATTTAGAGGCTTGACAACAGGTTCCAAAATATCGTCCTGATAGTTTTTAGCAGCTGTTTTAACTCCTTTTTCACAAAAATGGAGCTTTGTGGTGCCATCAAAGCAAACTCCCTACCAAACCATCACTGAGGAAGGGTGATGACCTCTTTCCACTCTTCCAATGACTTCCTGGGCTTCTTTAGAGCTGTGTGCATACACGATCATTTTGGTGATTAAATTTTTCTTTAATTGTAAAAATTTTCTCATCACTAAACAAAATCTTTCGATGAAGACCATTGGTGTAATGTCCAAGGAGCACTTTGCATCTATCCAATCTAATTTTTTTTTAGGGAAGTGGTTAGCCTTTGTCCTGTCATTCTTCGAAATGCACCCATCCTAAGGTCACTTTTTATTATGTGAGACATTGATCTGACAGAGATTCCCATTTCCCGAGACATGATTTGTTGTTTTCGAATGGGATTTCTTCTGATTCGAGCAGCCACTGCTCTCACTGCATTTGCCATTCTCACAGTGCAGGGACAGCCAGGTCGAGGTCTGTCACATACAGATAGGGTCTCATTATATCTATTTATAGTGCGGTACACGAACATACGGCTGATACCCAAAGGTTTCGAAGTGCTGAAAATCTCTGACCTACATTTTCCAACTTCGTGTAAGGCGATCATAGCTATTTCGTATTCTTTATCTCCCCACTCCATGTTAACTAAGCGAAAGAAAAATACAAACTAATTGGAATTATTATCCTGACATGTAAACAAAATAACCTGATAGAGGTAAGGATTATCTAAATAATAGCCAAGGATGTAAACAAAGTTCAACTTTTGTAACAGTATCTATAGCAGAACTAGGTATTTATTTTTAAAAAACCAAAAGCAAAAATAATGAAAAATTTAAAAATCTTTTAAACTACTGAACTTATTCCTATTTTTTATAATGGTGAAAATTTGTTTCTTCTCAATTTTTCATCATAACGCATGTGAAACAAATTAAATGAAATAATACAAATGGTAAAAATAGCGAAAATGGTGAAACAGCGAAATATGTGACAATACTGAAAACTGTGAAAAGGATAAAAATAGCGAAAATCACTAAAATCGCGGAAACCATCAAAGTAGTACAAACCGCAAAACTGCCGAAACCACGATAATGGAGAACATTATAAAAAAAATTTTAAATCTTCTAAACTACTAAATTTATTCCTATTTTTTTATGTTGAAACTGCGAAATATGTGAAAGTACTGAAAACTATGAAAATAGCGAAAATGGCTAAAATCATGAAAACCATCAAAGAGGTACAAACTGCGAAACTGCTGAAACCTAAAATTGCACAAAAGCCAAAAGCAAAAATAATGAAAAATTTAAAAATCTTTTTAAAAATAAGTTAATAAAGTTAAAAACCTTATTCCTATTTTTAATAATGGTGAACTGCAGATATTTCTCAAGGCAGTATCCAAGTTCCTATCCTTTACACAGTATATACAGCTTATATCCCAACACTGTCATCACCACGTATGCTGATGACACATGTATCCTATCAGTTAATAATGACCCATCAATTACATCCCAAACTCTTCAATCACACATCACAAACCTTGAAGGGCGATGTCAAAACTGGAGAATTAAAATAAATTCCAATAAATCCCATCAAATTACCTTAACCCTTCGTCGTAAATCAATGACTTCCTATCCTACAGTATCCTTTAACAATACCTCACTTATCCCTGTTGAACAAATTCATTACCTAGGACTCCAACTGGACAAACATTTCACTTGGAATCCTCATACCAGACTGAAACAACAAGAAACCGCTCGACGTTTCGGACTACTTCAACACTTACTAGACAAACGCTCTAATCTTCCAATTAATTACAAAAGACTCAAATACATGACTATAATAAGACCTCGGGTCCTATCTCAACGATGTTGGAACTTCCGAAGTGGATGTCTGAAACAAGGTAGAGATGGCAAGCAACTAGAATGCTACATTCTCTAGAATGATACTCTTTCAAACGCAAACAAGCGGCGTATCTTTACAGTTGAGCTATGAGGTTTCACCAAGCCATCAAATTCCTCTTGTATCCAATTCATACAATCCAAAACCCTTAATGCTCCTTACTTTGTTACAAATAAAATCATATAATTATAATTGTAATCTTAATGACCTAAATATTCCTTATATTTCAGATTTGGACCAATCCAGATACATATCCTTCCATAATAAACTTCATAACCATCCCATCTAACCTTGCTTTATCTTCAATTTCTGATAACCCTCCGAGGCGTCTGAAAAGAAGATGGCCCGTGATCTCCTAATATAGACATATTATTAGAGTGCTGCCAGTGGGTAGTTTCTCAACAAGTGATTCATGTCATTGAATCCATTATATAAATTTACTAGATGTATTTTTTTATACAGTTGTATTTTTTATAAACCTCTTAAATTGCTAAAATTGAGAAAACTTCTAAAAAAGCGAAAATTGCTAAAATTGAGAAAACTGCTAAAAAGGCCAAAATCGCAAAAATTATTAAAGATTTTAAAATCTTTTAAACCACTTCACTTATTTCTATTTTTTATAATGTCGAAAACTGCTAAAATAGCGAAAATGTCAAAACTGCGATAATGAGGAAAATGGCGAAAATTGCAAAACTGAGAATCTGTAAAATTATTAAAAGAAACATCATATTTATATTGTAAAAAAAAGGAGCACAAAAAAGTTAAATTCTCGTCGATTTCTTGGTTTGAGAAATTCTCATACTATTCCCAGTTTCCCAAAATTTCCTGGTTGCGGGACACCCTGTATTTCCAGATGGTTCTGGTGCTAGAAGAAGCAATTTCCTACTCAATATGAACGGAGCATCTTTTAGCAAAATCACAGCAATCTACACAGGTCACTGCAATCTAAATAGTCATATGTTCAAACTCAGGCTGACAGTCACTTTGTGTAGATTTAAGTATGGGCAGTTCAAAGATTGGTAATAAATGTGAGCTTGTCAATCCCATATGCCTTTTCAAAGTTCCTGATTGTTCCAAAAATTATATTTTAATAAAAAAAAGCTAAAAAGTTATGTTGCACAATAACCATAATGAGGCCACGGTGCATACCACCATTACCCCAAGCATGGTACAAAAAATCCATTCTTTACGGCAAGCACACCATACATTCATCCAGTCTCTTCTCAATGACTTCATCAGTGCACTTGATTTATCAGTTCATAGTTTTGATTTTTCTTGATTAATTATTTTTTCTCACTTGCTGCGAATAGGTCTAGTTTAAAAAATTAAATATTCTTAATTTATAGGGTGAAAAATAGTCACGATGCAGTCATTTTAAGATATTTATTGTTGTCTACATTTCAATTCAAGCAAGTGTGTCATTATCAGGGCATGTTAGCAGCAATGATGATGAACCACATGCTTGGTTTCAAATGTCGGCAACAATAAAAATCTTAAAATAACAGTCTCATGACCATTCATCACCCATGATATGTAGAACAGTTGACTAACTACCATAACTCTTAGTATTTTCTTTATTTGGATGTTTTGGGGATACTCTGTCCCACTTTTCCGAATCTAGAATTACATAAACAATACATTATAAGTTCTTAAGTGTAGAAAATTTGTTTAAATAGACCAGTGGGCAACAAGTGAGAAAACTAAAAAATATATTAATAATATAGTAATTTTCCCTGTTTAAAAACTTTTTTTTTTTTAAAAAAAGGACTTCAAGAGCTGTTGGAACAAAAATTTTATATGGTAAAAAAAACCTAAAATCATTATGAAAAATACTTTTAAGACAGCCTTAAAGTAGTAAAACATGATTTGAAAATATTTAAAATGTTGCATAGCAATATAAACCAAGATTCACAGTGAGACTGAGATAATAAATCAATAAAATAGAATAACAACACTCACTTAACGTAAAATACAATATAAAAACAAAAAACATAGTAAGTCACTCTAATTCTATTAATTTAAGAACATTAAGTTTGAAAAATACCCGCAAATTGTACTCCTGAAGGTCTAAATCACTATCTTTGGAGAGCTCCTGAAACTAAAGTAAAAGAATACTTTAAATAAAAGAATAAATATAGAATAATAATAATAAACCCGAAGGTTATATATATAAAATATATATATATATATATATATATATATATATATATATATATATATATATATATATATACAGGATGTCCCACAAGTAGAGGGAAATTTTTATAGGAATGATAGCAGACCGCAAGAGCTACAAAGAAGTTCATATAAACAATGGGCCAATTTTCAGATGAAAAATAGGAAATCCAAGTTTTGTGTTTTTTAAGTAAGTCATGTTTTTGTTAAATAGGAAGAAATAACTAAAGAAATACTTAATTTAAGTAATTAAAAATGGTTTAACTAAAAAAAAACTAGATAAAATTAACTCCTAAAGAAAATAGAATTTGTTATTGTTAAAATTGTTTAAAGAGGATTTTTGAGCAGTTAAACTAAGCTAAGTTCTGTTTTTTAAAGTTATGATTTTTAAAAAATCATAAATTATTTGTGAATTTATTTTATCATCATCTAACTACACTGCAGATACCCCACTTTTAGAAAAACTTCCTCGTTTAATATCCTTCAAGTCCATATTAATTAAGTTAAGGTTTATCAGGGAAAAAAATTGTGATTCACCTCAAGTTGTGTAAAAAAATATGTGATTTTATATATTGTAAAACTGGAAAGATGCACAAAATCGCAATTCAAACTCATTACTTGCTCATAGTACAAAAATCACTGAAGTTTTTTTTTTTTTTTTTCCAAAACTTGAATAATTCTTTGAAAACATTCTAAAATATTTTTCGGAAAATGCTAAAAATGTAAATTAAAGAAATTTACTTACATTATCTGGAGTTTTTAATGAATGGTAAGATATGTGAGCCAAAAAATTGTCTTTTTTTACAGTCCTAAATGGACAAACTTCACAGCTGAACATGAGACCATCATCAAGACCTTAAATACAAATAATCATTAAATTTAAATTAATATACAAAAATTAATAACAATTAAAACAAATATATTTATGTATATGGCCCTACAATCTAAGATGGACCTTGACCTCCTCCCAATTAAAACTTAGTCAGTCTTACCAATTAGGAGATTTGGTTCTCCAACCAGTAACTTCCATTCTTTAGAGGTCATCCACGATGGCGAGCAACATTTACGTGGCCATCCCTTTTTCCATTTTGTTCTGATTTTTTTTTAAGAGTAATTTTTTTTACAATCGATCATTGCTCATTTGCCACATATGCTCTGGCCATCTTATTCTATGAGACTTTATAAATTTTATTACACTAGATTTTCCAAAATGGTATTTTTCTCATCATTACTCTTCATTTTCCATAAGTCATTAGTGTAAGGTCTCCCCATCAATTCTTCTAATAATGTAGTGTTCTAATACTGTAAGAGCCTGCTCCTCTGTGGCTTTCAAAGTCCATATTTCTGATACATATGTAATCACTGGTCTGACCAAGGTTTTGTAAACTTCATCTTAGTGTGTTTTGACAGCAATTGTTTTTTTGTTTTTTTTTTCTTATGCCAGTCGTTGGTCATTTGGCCATCCGACATCTTGCTGTCCAGTATAATTTAGACTTTCTGATATATATATTTGAAAATATTTTTTCTCTTATGTCCCTCAAGGCAGGACATGCGTCTAGATGGTCTGCATCCATTGTTCCTTGATGACACAATTTACAGGTAGGATCCTCAGCCACGCCTATCTTGTAGATGACAGCAATTGTGAACCCATTAACATTTTTAAATGAACTGAGGCATGGTTTCTAGCTATTATGTAACTTCTTATTTCTCTATTGATATCAGCTTGAAATATGTGTGAAATATTTGACATTTTCAAATGTATTTTCATCAATGTTCATGTCAGTTTCATCTTTTCTTGTAGCATATTCAAGTACTCTAAGATATTTTTATTAATTTAAAGCATGGTATCTTCACTTGTTTTTTGTTTTGTTTCACTAAATGATTTTTTTAGTGCTGCTTCAGTTCTTCCCATCATCATCAAAATCATGTAACTGTGTCATTCTGTCAACAATGGAACCTTTAGTCTCCAATCCTCCAATTAAAACAACTGGCAAGATAAAACACTAACCTCTTTATTCACTTAATATATTTATTGACTCAGATATATAGGTTTGAGCCATTTAGTGCCAGCTTATTAATCATCATTCCTATCAATATTAATATAACCTAGAATGGAATACAATTAATCAAGAAAAAATAAAAATTAATTGTAAATTGTTTTTAATAAATAGCTGAGCATTAACAACTATGAGAGACAGAATAGGAGTATAATAAGAGTAGTGGTGGATGAGAACATAAAAATAAAAAGGTGATTATAGAAAAAAAAATAACACTTAGTATAATCACCTTTCCCGAGATCTGAGTAATCTATTTTTTTCTTTTAAGGAGATTTGATTGCATTGTTTACAGTGCAATGAAATAGCTATAATTTCTTAATTTGTCTGCTCTATATATAATACAAATATTTATTTTTAGAATTCAGATTGATTTAGTAGGATTTAAATAAAAAACTCTGTTATAAAACAATAAGAAGGGCTCTTAATAAAATAATGATATAATTAAGAATAACATTAATATATTATTACTGTATCATTACCAGGATGTTTATTTTTGAGATGGCTCTTAAAAGTTGAAGATTGTATACAAGCATACGGGCAATGAGGACAAGTATAATGTTTTGCACCAGTGTGACGCATCTTGTGCCGCCTAAGGGTGTTATGATCTGATGTACGGTACTCACATTCATTACACCTATAAGGCTTCTCACCTAAAGAAAAATTACAACATAAGTTAATATTTATTCAGATGATTTAAGGAGATATTTCTCAGGAGTAAATTAAATGTATATGGTTTTAGTCAGCCCTACCCTTCAACCCTCCTTCTTTATCCTTGGGCTTTGGACCTGTTGTAGTCCTAGCTTAGCTACTTCCACAGGCAGAGTTAAATACATTCCTTTATATCATAGTAACTTTATTATTAAGCTTTTCACACAACTAGCATGTGCAAAGATCAACAGCTATTTAAAATTTATTTTGTGAAACATCTGTCATAATTATAAACTATATAATCAGTGTTATTTATATCAAAGAATCCAGCTCTCAAATAGTTCCAACACATATAAAAAACAAGCCAAGAAACTTCATTCCATTCTGAGCACAGATACCGAGTATCAGATGCTGCAAGGAACTCTGCCTTGTTAATTCTTATTTTATTGTATTTTCGAATGAATGCTGCATTTCAAAAAATATACAACCATCCATTGCTCCAAAATCCATTGATGCCATGGTAGAAATCCTTAACAACCATCTTCATACCATCCTCGACTGCTATGCTCCTCCCCTAACTAAAACCATCCGACATCCCCCTAATCCTTGACTGACACCCGCTCTGAGAGAGTGCATGAGAAGAAGAGATACGGCAAGAACGTGGTTTAAACGTACCCAACCCCGGAAGACTATCATAAATCGTTGCTCACAGCCCAAGTATTGACACTATCAATATCTTCTTGAAGCCTTAGGATTGCCTCAAGCATCTTGGTAGGATGAAAGGAAAGGTAGATCTGGAGATAAGTGATATTGTCAGCATATAAGTGATATTGTGAATGATGGATGGAATCAGGAAGGTCGTTGATGTAGACGAAGAAAAGAGTTGGGGAGAGCGAAGATTCCTGAGGAACACCGCGGGTTAGTGGGAGGGGGCAGGAAGGAGTTTCATTAGTTATGGTGACTGTTTGGAATCTTTGATACAAGAAGGAATGGAACCACTTTAGAGCACTATTTGATATGGAAAGGTTTTTGAGTTTGGAAAGGAGAGTTTCATGATGGACTGAATCGAATGCATTTGAGAAATCAAAGAGGATGAGAATAGTTATTTTCTATTTGTCTATGGAGAATGAAGGTCTTGTATAATTTTCAACAAAGCAGACTGGGTGGAGAACTGGGATCGGAAACCAAACTGGAGGGGATTGAGGAGAGCTTTTTGTTCTAGGAAGGTGTTAAGCTGTGCATGAATATGGTGGAAACACATGAAAAAGTGGACTATAAACAACACCATCTTTTCAGTGTTAGAAGCTTGGATAAAATTGCTCCCAAAAACATTGAAACTTTCATAAATGAAAATATTGGAATAAGAAAATTTTGTCTAGAAAACCACAGAAGAAATAGGAAAAGAATCATTACTCGAAATCACCAAAGCTCTTCCAAATTTCATTCATATTGATAGAGATGACATGAAAAAGTGGCTGGAAAGTGATATGGACGAAGAGGGATTCGAACTTACTGATAACGAAACAGCAGATCTTCACTGAAAAGATGGGCCATCGACTTCGTCGCGGTTTCATTGTGGAAACTTGAGTGATGAGAATTAAGATTCACAAATCGTTTCGGAAACAAATAAAATTAACCAAGCATTAGAGGCAACGGAACTTCTACTAAGCTATTTTGAATAGGAGAGAACATTGACTATAGCAGAATTATCTTGCTAGGAGAAATGAGAACTGATATTAGAAAAGAAATGTTTAATAAAAAACAGACCAAAATAACTGATTTTTTCTCAAATTAAAATTCAATACATACGTAAAAACATGCACACATTCATTTTTACGTATTTTGTATATTATAACTTAATGAATATAAAACGTTTGTTTGTTAATAAAAGTGATTTTCTGCGCAGTTTTTTTCTAAAACCCATCAAGTCAATAAAATGTTATAATTCGATTATCTGGAGTTTTCAATAATCCGGAACCCCCATACTCATCATTAACCCAAATAACAGGGGTTCTACAGTAGTTACTAAAGTATAATTTTTATATTTATAGAAAGATATGTAATTATAACTTGTTAACAAAGGCAATTAAATGTGTTACCTGTGTGTTGTCTGGAATGCATTCGCAAGGAACTTCGTGAAGCTGCAGAATGCCCACAGTCAGAACATAAGTAAGGCCTTAACTTACGATGGACAATATCAGTATGATGCCTTAACATTCTCATACATGTAAATGCCCGACCACAAATAGAACAAGAAATATTCTCATTTTCACCATTTTGTTTTACTTTATGGACAGTCTGAAACAAACAAAAATTAAGGTCATGAAAAATTCTCATAATCAATAATAGTACTATATGCTAATGAAATAGTACATGATAGTTACAATCTTAACAACAATCAGGAGTGGGTTAAAAAATCAAAACCAGATTAGTGAAGTACTAATTTATATTTTTGTGAGGGGTGTTTATACTTTGTTTGTATCTTGTTTGCCCTAAAAAAAGGCCTTATAAACTGGACTGAAATGTCACCATGAATTGAATAGTTTCTCTCAAATGTTACATCCATTTCTGTTGACCTCCTTAACCATCATCTTCTAGTTAGTGAATAGTAATTAAATGCTGACGAACTGAATCAAACTTAGCTATTATATTTGAAGAGTTCCTGATCAAAATGATTTTTATCTAGAAAATTCATTTAAATCTGGGCAAAAATATGGAAAAAATTATTTTTTCAGAAAACAATCTATAGGTCACCAATTTCAACCAAATTTTTTTTGGTGATACTACATCAAAAAATATTAGACACGTGTCCTGCCATTCTTTCCAATGGGCCTTAAGAGGAGAGAAAATGCCATTTTCTTGCATTAAATTCAAACACGTACATTTTAAATAAGTTTTTATTATTAATCATACATCATATAGGACCTATTTTTCATCTCCGGTGATGAAGCGATCAAAAAACCCTTCTGTATAGTGCCGTTGAAACAATAAGTTGCATGTGGTGGTTTCCCAATCTGCTGCAAATGTTCTTGGATGGTCGACTAAGGTTGGTTAAGATTGATTGACAATCCCTCGATTGTCTGTCATGGATTTGCTTCCACTTATGTCCTTAACACATCATTTTCCAACGTTGTTGGTCTTCCTGATCGATACGAGTTGTAAAGATCAAAATTACCAGATATGAAATTGGAAAACCACTGTTGGCATTTACGAACGTCTAATTTGTACAAACATCTGAATAAACATATATAAACAAATATTTTTGGTAGAAACTGTTGCATTAGTACCCTTATGAAACTCAAAAAGCATGCAATGCTGTATATGTACCTCTTCTGATATTTGGCTGGCTGTATCTCCCAAAATTGGAGAAAAATATTTTTTTAATTTAATTCCTTCGCGTCAGCAAATTCCCCCTCATCATCTACCTCTACGAGTCAAATTACTGCCACAGCAATCGCAACCATCTCATAATTATTATTATTAAAAACACTTTATTCAGAAATATTACAATTTGTCACAGTTAAGGACACTTATAATAGAGTTCAGAGATTGCATTCATACCGTATATACAAAAATATAAATAAATAAAGTAATAACAAAAGAATAAGAAGAAAGAACAAAAGAAAAAAATATATATATATACACATAAGTAAATAAAAATAGAAATAAAAGTAAAACAAACACCTTATATAAAACATACATTATTTACAATTTGCCAGGTGATCTCCGAACCAATCCTGTCCCCTCCACATGTGGAGGGAAAAGGGAGGCTTAGGAGATCCCTACGCTTCTCCCTCAGCCACTTCACTGGTATTTTAAACCAGCGGAGGATGAGTAAGAGCGCTACAGCCACAGACACTCGTGACTTGAGTGGAGAATCTGGCCATTGCTAGAACTCCAAAATATCCATATTTACAAAAGGTCTCGTGGCCACTGCCGCTTTAACCTACGAAGGGGATTGTAGGGATGGGTGGTGCTTGATAGGGATTGTACAACGGGATTTGGGTGATGAGAAAGGTTCTGGTGAAATTTGGAAAATTTGGCTGGGATAAGATCAAGAATAAATGGGATATTAAGGTCATGGTGTAGGATTTTATTGGTTACATAGAAGGGAGCATTGACTATTGTACGGAGGACTTTAGACTGAAAGGATTGAATGCGTTTGATGTTAGAAAATTTGGCTGTTCCCCATAGTTCTAGTCCGTAAGTCCAGATGGGTTTCAGTATTGTCTTGTAGATCAGTAATTTGTTTTCACCAGAAAGTTTAGATTTTCTATTCAGTAGTCTATATAGCTGGCCATATCGTCTGTTAAGTTCCTGTCTTTTAAGTCGAGTATGTGGATTCCATGTTAGTCGTCTGTCTAAGAGAAAGCCAAGATACCGGACTGTATCTGAGAAAGGAAGCTGGATGGAGTTAAAATAAACTGGTGGGCAGGTATTACGCCGAAGGGTGAAGGTAATGTGTTTACATTTAGATTCGTTTACCTTAATGCGCCATTTCTTACACCAGTGTTCAATCAGGAAGAGGTGCCTTTGTAAGTTTGCGGACGCTGTTTCAGGATCTGAGTTGGAAGAAAGGATAGCAGTGTCATCAGCGAAAGTTGCCAGGAGGGTATCGGGATGGACAGGAATATCAGTGGTAAAGAGAATGTAAAGGATGGGGCCCAAGACGCTGCCTTGAGGAACGCCAGCCTCAATTGAGTAACAGTCGGAGAATTCGGTGCCACAGCGAACTCGGAAGGAGCGGTCGGAAAGATAGGATCGGAGTACTAGGTATAAGGACTGTGGTAGATGGATTTTAAGCTTGAAGAGTAATCCGGCGTGCCATACCCGGTCAAAAGCTTGCGCTATGTCCAGAAATGCACCCGAGCAATACTGCTTGCTTTCTAGGGTTGAGGATATATGGTCAACAACTCGGAGTCCTTGCTGGACAGTGGAATGTTGGGAACGAAATCCGAATTGATGAGTAGGAAGGTTATAGGATTCAATTATAGGTAGGATTCGTTTCAGTAGGATCTTTTCAAAAATTTTTGAGAGGATTGGGAGTAGGCTAATTGGTCTATAGGATGCTGTATTGTTGGAAGGTTTGCCTGGTTTCAAGAAGAGGACGATGGTGGAATGTTTCCATAAAAGAGGGAAGTGGGTAGTTCGTAGGATGCAATTGTATATATAGCATTTCCAAGTCAATTTCAACCTTTTCCAAATCAAATTCAACCTTTTCCAAGTCAAATTAAACCTTTTCCATTTCAAATTAAACCTTTTCCAAGTCAAATTCAACCTTTTCCATTTCAAATTCAACTTTCGAATTTTTGTCAATTTTCGATTTTTTTCGAAATGAAGGCCACTTACTATATTAACGAAGGTATAGCTTTTGAAAAATACAAAAAAAATTTTGATAACGCGGTTGCATATCCATTTATTTTAACATTTTAGATTTTTTCAGTGTGATATTTCTATGTCATTTCCAAGTCAAATTCAACCTTTTCCAAGTCAAATTCAACCTTTTCCAGATCAAATCAAACTTTTTCCAAGTCAATTCAACCATTTCCATTTCAAATTAAACCTTTTCCAATTCAAATTCAACCGTTTTCATTTCAAATTAATGTTTTAATTTTTTGTAAATCTTATATTTTTTTTTTAAATAATGGCCATCCCCTCCCCCCTCCAATATGAAAGTCTATTATTATGCTCTTCTAAGTAGAATTTTCACTTACGGATATCGATTTATTGTAACTATTCGGATTTATTAGGGACTAGTATTATGCTGTCCTGTACCTAGTTTTGAAAATAACCTCCTTTTTAAGATTACGTGACTGAGTTTCGAATTATTTAAGTTTTTTTTTAATTATTCGATATAAGGGTGTATTTTTATGTTTCCCGATCAGTAAATTTTGAAAATGACCTCCATTTTAAGATTAGGCCACCGCGTTTCGACTTATTTGAGTTTTTCGGATATTTTTCATATGAGGGTTTATTTTTATGTTTCCGGAGCTGTAGATTTTGAAAATGACCTCCATTTTAAGATTAGGCCACCGCGTTTCGACTTATTTGAGTTTTTCGGATATTTTTCATATGAGGGTGTATTTTTATGTTTCCGGAGCTGTAGATTTTGAAAATGACCTCCATTTTAAGATTAGGCCACCGCGTTTCGACTTATTTGAGCTTTTCGGATATTTTTCATATGAGGGTGTATTTTTATGTTTCCGGAGCTGTAGATTTTGAAAATGACCTCCATTTTAAGATTAGGCCACCGCGTTTCGACTTATTTGAGCTTTTCGGATATTTTTCATATGAGGGTGTATTTTTATGTTTCCGGAGCTGTAGATTTTGAAAATGACCTCCATTTTAAGATTAGGCCACCGCGTTTCGACTTATTTGAGTTTTTCGGATATTTTTCATATGAGGGTGTATTTTTATGTTTCCGGAGCTGTAGATTTTGAAAATGACCTCCATTTTAAGATTACGCCACTGCGTTTCGGCTTATTCAAGTTTTTCGAATTTATCCAACTTAAAGGTCTACTTTTATGATGCCAGAGCCTTAGTTTTTAAAACGATTTACATTTTAAGATTAGGCCACTGTGTTTCGGTTTTTTTTAAGTGTTTTTGATTTTTCCTTCGAATAAAAAACAAAATATGAAGGATTAATTTATTTTTCAATAAATAAATAAAAATATCTAATCAAAATAAATAAAATATGTATTGTCTCATTTTTAATTTAATTTTAGTTATCTTTTTTAATGTTGTGGTCTCCTGTCACAAAATTATAAGATTTCGAACAATTAGCTGAAAAATCTGAATACGGAAGGTTAAATTTATTACCAGCTGCTTTTCGGCTTTTTAGTTTGTATTCTGTGGTTAATTTAACTTTAGCTTCATAATATTTATTTATTTATTCATACTCGAAAACATATTGATGAAACTTTGTATTGTAAAAATCCAAAATGAAGCCTAATTATTCGAGATGCAGCGGCTTAATCATAAAATGGAGCTTAAATATTAGATAAATTTAAATATTAAAGATTAGAAAAATTTCAATGCGTCTCGGATAACATATAAGTAGATTCTTATACCGAAAAAGTAAAAAAGAAAAAACTTTTATAATCCAAAACACAGTGGCATAAACTTGAAATTGGGTCATTTACAAAATGGGGGAAATCTGCTGCTCCAGAAACATAAAATTAGACCTTTATACTTGTTAAATTCTAAAAACTTAAATAAGTTGAAACGCAGTGGCGTAATCATAAAATAGAGGTCATTTTCAGAATCTACGGTTCCGAAAACATAAAAGTAGACCTTTA